TATAAGATTTTATTGTTTAAAACATTATACGAATCATTTTCCTTGCAAATTAAAGAAAATTGTACTACTCCAAATATTAAAAAAAAAAATCTTACTATCAACATATATAATAAAATTAAATCATTGACTCAATCATAAAAGTCAAAATACGTTCCTACCAAAACTTTCCATTAATGAACCTAGTGCAACATAGAAAATCACTCAATTCTACAATGGACAATGTCAAAGGAAATTCAGGTATCAAAGGGTTGATTCACGTACAGACGCAGAACATAAAAATAGAAGCGTAGAGACGGGAGAGGGCCATGGTGCATGTGCAGGTGCAGGTGCACATCGACATTACCCCAATTAGTACAAGGAATGAAAACGGCACAAGCAATCAACAAAATTTGCTCTTTCTTCCCAATCGGTTGTCATTTTTTCACCGGAAATAATATATTTATTTATTAATATAGTTTCAACTGTAAAATAAAATTATTTAATTAATTTTTTTTAGAATAATATATTTACTGTAGAATTATTGTTTTATTGTTTAAACTATAAACTAAGAACCATTTGATGGGGTTCTCCCACCTCAAATGATTAATGTTTTATAGGTTAGAACAATTTAAATTATAAAATATTTTTTTATTTACTATATCACATAAAATTATAAATTTATAATATTATATGTATTATAATTATATTATTTTTATTTTTTGACAATAAAAATTTATCATAAATTTTATAATATTCACATACAAAGACCATATGCATGTTATATCATGCGCCTCACATTCTCAGCCCAAGCATCCCTCTTTGAATTAAAAAAGACAATAAAGGGGTTATTAGGTATAGAGGTTGAAATTCTGTACTTTGAAGGTAGTCAGTGGCTGATAATGGTTAGCACATGTTTGGTTGTGGATATTGAATAAAAGTTTAGAATATATTAATTTTGGCAAGTGTTTTGTTATGTACTCATTCTATCTCAAAGTAACTTTGTTTTTTTTTTTTTTTACTTTAAATTTATTTTAAATTAATTGTTATTTTTTATATATTTTTAAGATAGATAAATATTTTTTTTATTTTATCCTTATTATTATTCATTTAATTTACTTAATTATTCAATCACAAAAAATTCCACTTTATCTTTTATTTCTATTTTAAGTGTGTTATATATAAAATTACAAATATTGTCTCTAAA